ATTCTTCAGCATACATCCATCTATTACCCAGCTCAAGTTCCTCTGCCTGATGCACAGTTAGGCCAAGCAAACCCCAAATTTGAGCATTTGGAGCAGAGGAAGGCTTATTGCAGGGCCAGCAAGAATTAGTGCCTCATATTCAAAATAACCCGAGCTCCCTGAAGGGTTTCTTAGCAAAGCATTTTTAAAAGCCAGGTGAGAAAGATGGGGTCACAGGATATGTGGTCAGTTCAAGAACAGTTCTCTGGTAGATAACAGTGCTTATAGGTCTGGGGGCTCATGGTCATCAAGTAGTTAATTTTCTCTACTTAGCGTCTGTAAAACAACTCAGGAAGTCTGCATCCAATACTGTTATCTTGGCATTTGAGAGAGGAACTATAGAGAGGACATGTGGGTTGGGGCCTGTCCCAGGAAGACCCCGTGTGGTCCTGCTTGGTTACATGTCTCTGCCACAGAACTAAACCTTTCCGCTCGCCTCCCATCACCAGCCCCACCGCCAGGTGGCCGGGAGTGACCTGATTTAAGCCATCTGAGCATCCTTCGAGTCCGCGCTAGCAGCAGTGAGCTGGTGACTGAGGCCCTAGGACAGATGGTGGCTCTTGTGCAGCAACTGTCTCAAGCCTGGTCCTGCATCAGTGTGAGGTTCTTTCCACTCTTCCAGGGCTCCTGGACCTGCAGGAGGGCCTGACCTCCACAGAGCTATTACAATACCCTTCAGCGATCATGGATCACAATCTGTTAGCCTGCATGCGGATCGTTGATGTGTCAGGTGTGAGTCTTCAAACCCACTAATTTCAGAAACATATCATATATGAAAATTGCCAGGGCTGGGGCTCTCTCAGCCCAAGCTTTGTCTTGTGAAGAGGCGACGTCGGACGAGTAAAAGCATATGAGAGCACTGATAGATTGACATTGGATGCTGTAAGGGTTTGTGGCAGAAATTAGTCACTAAGTGCCTTCTGGACACTCAGGTATTACACCTGTATGGCCTACGTCTGCAATGGCCGGGGACCAGATGATGCAGTTGGTCTGGTCTGTGGGATCTGCTTTCTCTTTTCTCTTTGGCCCATCTGTGTTTCCACTGCCCTTTGCCACACTGCAGTTCTGAGCCCTCAGCGTGTTCAAGGCAAGGCTCTCAGACCTGTTCTCCACCACCACAATTGGCCTTGACATCTGCGACATTTTAACAAAGTCAGAGTTTCTCTAACATTTCCCTTGTGATGGCAATGTTGCTCCAGTTTCTGGCAAAGACGCAAATGTTTACTAGCAGTGTTTGGAGTCCAGTGTTACAATGAGGACTCACTGTCAAGTAGGTCATAATGATAAAAGAAAATTACTATTAAAGAAAAGTGTATTGTCTTTGAATCAGCAAATACATACACCACCTCATGTAATTTTGTGGGCTTCCCTGGGGGCTCAGTGGCAAACAAGCCACCTGCCAGTGCAGGAGATGCAAGAGACACAGGTTCAATCCCTGCGTCTGGAAGGCCCCCTGGAGAAGGAAATAGCAACCTGCTCCAGAATTCTTGCCTGGGGAGTCCCATGGACAAAAAGGAGCCTCTTGGGCTACAGCCAGCGCATGGGGCCCCAAAGAACTGAACGTGATGTAGAGACTAAAACCACAGCAGCATGGAATTTTGGAGCGCAGTCCCAGAACAGGCGGTGTGAGGGTTTTTGTTTTTTTTTAATTGCCTCCAAATAAAATAAGCGTGATTTTTGTTTGTTTTATTCTTCTGAAGATATTCATTTACTTATTTGGCTGCTCTGGGTCTTAGTTATAGTGTGGAAGATCATTAGTTGGGGCATGTGAAATCTGCTTCCCTGACCAGGGATCTAACCCAGGCCTCTTGCATTGGGAGCTCAGAGTCTTAGCCACTGGATCACCAGAAAAATCCCAAATAGGCCTTGGTAGTAGGGATCTGATATGTTCTTTTTTGAGCAAGAGTGGTGAAAGGCATGAAATCTAGAAGTTGTAGCCTTTAATTCCTTGTCCCTCGTTTCTCCTACTTCTATCTCTCGTGTCAATAACTGTGCCTGCCCACCCAGGAGCCACTAAAACCTGATTACAGTGGATAAAAGGAGTGTAAACAATGCTCAGTTTAAAATGCCTCATTTCAGCACTGTGCACAGTGCTTAAATATGCAAAGGTATTTTGCACAAATGTCTCCACTGGGAAACACCATGAACTTTCAGTTCTATCAAGAACATGCTAATAAAAAAAAGTACACTATGCTATTCAAATATTTAATAATTTTACTATTGCATTTTTTATAGTACCAGCACATAATAAGAGAGTAAACATTTCTTAATGCCCATTTATCAGAAGAGGATTTTTGTACGTACCCTCAGCTCATGTCACAACTTAAAAGATCAGCAGGTCCTTTTACTGTTCATCATTGGCTATTTTTAACTGTTTAGAATCAAGGAATGGTGATAAAGTTAAAACTCTAAATCTACGACGAATAACTTTTATTTAACTATACGAAATTTGGATATAATGACTGCTTTCTAGTTTTTTTTACACTTGTAAGTCCTTGGCAATACTATCAAAACCTTCAGAAGTAGGAAGAACTGACAGCAGGAACTCAAGGCATATCATACTTAAATATATTCCTGGAAAATACCAGCATGAGATAATATTCACTGTGATGTTGGCATTTGATAAATCAGATGCAATGAACCTAATTATGCAAAACAGTTATTTTGAATCTATCACTCATTGGAACGCTGTCTAAACCAGAATTTATTTAATTACTAGCAAAAGGAAAGGTAAGAACTTGCCAACTTTATTCCCTTCCCTTGCCTCAAAACATTCAGTGATTGTTACCAAGATTGAATTCATAGAAGCCCCAACCTTGCCTCAGTCCTTTGGAATCCCTCTGTTTTCTGTTGATTTAAATGTAAAGCAGCCTATGTGAAACACACCAGCAAAACGTTTGTTAGCAGTTTCAAAACTTTTGAATGGCTTTATCCTCAAATAGACTAGACAAGAATATTAAAAACTTTGGGGTTAGATGATCCTGAAGAAGCAGCCAATCATTGCACATTGAAGATGTTGGCTTTATTTTTTTTCCCAATTATTTTTATTAGTTGGAGGCTAATTACTTTACAATATTGTAGTGGTTTTTGCCATACATTGACATGAATCAGCCATAGATTTACATGTATTCCCCATCCTGATCCCCCCTCCCACCTCCCTCTCTACCCTATCTCTCTGGGTCATCCCAGTGCACCAGGCCCGAGCACTTGTCTCATGAATCCAACCTGGGCTGGTGATCTGTTTCACACTTAATAATATACATGTTTCAATGCTATTCTCTCAGATCATCCTACCTTCGCCTTCTCTCACAGAGCCCAAAAGTCTGTTCTGTATATCTGTGTCTCTTTTTCTGTCTTGCATATAGGGTTATCGTTACCTTCTTTCTAAATTCCATATATTTGCATTAGTATACTGTATTGGTGTTTATCTTTTTGGCTTACTTCACTCTGTATAATGGGCTCCAGTTTCCTCCATCTCATTAGAACTGATTCAAATGAATTCTTTTTAACAGCTGAGTAATATTCCATGGTGTATAGGTACCACAGCTTCCTTACCCATTTGTCTTCTGATGGGCATCTAGGTTGCTTCCATGTTCTGGCTATTATAAACAGTGCTAGGATGAACATTGGGGTACACATGTCTCTTTTAGATCTGGTTTTCTCGAAGATGTTGGCTTTCAAGTGGCCAGCAGTGAAGGCGGTGGACTGGCAGGACAGAGAGGGAGAGCTTCCCACAAACACCATTAAAATCAAGGAATTGCAACTCCCTCTTCCTTTAAACTGAAATGGAGGGTTCCCAGTTGGGACTGTTTGAAGGCAGCTGACAGTTAAATCCAAGTGTACCTGGCAGACTGCTAGCTTTGGAGATTTATCTGAAGGGTTGTGATAAAATCATCTGTGGCCTCACTTGGGTTTGTGTGGGCCTGTCCTCACCATTGCTGGGTAGCCATCTCTCCTTGGTGCCCCGTCAGCGTCCCTAGATGTCCTCCACTCCATTTGTGCCCATGGAGATGATTCCCCTGGCATTCCCCTGGCATGTCTGCTCCTGGGATTCTGGCCATCCCTCTGATGAAATATTCGCTCTCAATCAACATCTTCTTGTATGTCAGCTCAAGCTCTTAGCCCTCCTAAGACTCTGCTCCTCTTGTGCAGACTCCCTGGTCCACAGAACTGCTTCAAAGTTGCAGCCCTTCCCACATGGTGCAAAAAACACTAAACCAAAAAAAAAAAAAGTCCAAAGACACAAATTAGGATTTACAATAATGTGTAGCCTCAATTCAGCAATGAAGCCAGTTTGTGGCAACCATTTGAACCATTTCAGAGGAAGGTAGAGAAGATGCAGATCTTTCCATTTGGAGGGTAATAGGAAATATCACTTAAAGACCTTTTTTTTTTTTTTCTTTAAAATCTGCTTCTCTCAGGGATTTAGGCTGTTGTAAGGCTGAACATTTTGGTTCACTCATTGTCCAGAGAAAAACCACTGATGAGGATGAGTTCTGGTCCACTTTTTGGAACAGCATCAAGATGGCTTGCCTCCGTGGCTTATTCACCTGCTCATACTTTGAATAAGAATGGCCACCGTAAAATTTCAGGTGCAAGAACTGTGGACTAATAAGAGCTTTTTAGGGGTGACTTCAGTCTGCCTGGCTTCTTCAGTGAGGAAACCTGCTCCAGTCGTTAGGCTGAGAAAAATGTGTTCCACTGGCCCTGTTCAATGTGGATTTATCTCAGCATCATTATCACCCATATTCAGAGATCAGGCTCGGGAGCAAAGCGAGGCGGCTGGGTGATGCCGATAAGCTGACGAGCTTGAACTCTTGCTACCGTTGCACGCTGTTCATTGAATTTTCTGCAGATTTCAACGTTTCTGTCCCCCTCCCCAAATTTGAACACGCCTTGGATAAACCAATTCCGTCTGAACATCGGGCGAGTCTGACCGTCTCCTTGTTCCCTCCTTGCAGCTGGGTCCCGGGCCTCGTATAGCAGCCAGCACGGCCACCTGGGTCCTGAGCTGCGGGCCCTGCAGTCCCCGGAGCACCACATCGACCCCATCTATGAAGACCGCGTCTATCAGAAGCCCCCCATGAGGAGTCTCAGCCAGAGCCAGGGGGACCCTCTGCCGCCAGCACACACGGGCACGTACCGCACAAGCACAGGTGTGTATGCAGGACCCCCGGGGGCTGTCCACACGGGGCGGGGAGGGCGGCTGGCCGGGGGGTGGTCTGTCCCGGAGGGGGGCTGTCCACGGGGGCAGGGAGGGCGGCTGGCCGGGGAGTGGTCTGTCCCAGAGGCGGGCTGTCCACACCAGGGGGACCCCCCACAGAGCGGTGGTCTGTCTGTAGTGGTGTGGCCCTCCCACAGACGGGTGGGTCTACTTGGAAGCTTAAATAACACTCCCTCGTGAAAGGGGTGTGTGTGTGTGTGTGTGTGTGTGTGTGTGTGTGTGTGTGTGTGCATGCGTGTGTGTGTGCACGAGTGTGTGTGTACACGTGTGTGTCGGTGTCCTTTCTCCTCAGGAGCATTATGAAATGACCTGCTTTTCTCAGTAATGTTTCTGATGATGATAAAAAATCAAACATGACTCCAGTTGAGCTCCCTGAGTAGATTGTAAATGAAAGAAGTCTGGAGGTGGGGTGGGAGTTAGCGTGATTTGTCACACAGGCAAATCAAAAGTAGTAGTACTAATTTTTTTGTAAATCATTATTAATATATTTAATGAGCATAATTGCTTTAAGAAAAAACACAACATATAAAGACATATGTACTTACTTAAGGCTGGTAAGTGTCTTTTTAATGGTACAGTATGCCTGTTTTGGGGATTCCCTGCTGGCTCAGATGGTAAAGAATCTGCCTGTAATTCAGGAGACCTGGATTTGATCCCTGGGTTGGGAAGATCCCTTGGAGAAGGGAACGGCTACCCACTCCAGTATTCTTGCCTGGGAAACGCATGGACAGAGAAGCCTGGAGGGCTACAGTCCATGGAATTGCAGTTGGAGACCATTGAGTGACTTAACACTTTTCTACATCTTTGGCAACCTTGGGAGGAAAAAAACATGTTTACTAAAAATGTAGCATATTTGGCCTTACATAAAATGTAAGGCCAACTGAGAATATACTTCATACACACTATTAGGCTGAATCATAGGAAATTATAATTTAGTGGTTGGTCACTGGCACTTGCATATATGGTTCAACTCTCTAGCTCTCCTGGATTAAATATATATTTTGAATTGAGCACAACCACAGGCCATGTGAAGAAGGACAAGTGTTTTCCAGAACATGAAGCTGTTTGCAAAATAGCTAGTTAAAGGTCACGATTAAATTTGTTGGAGAACACTTAGCTTAACTATAAAATCAATATAATTAAGAAGATACAGAGAATTGCACTTGGTCTAAAGCCTCCCGTGGCTGAGTAAACTTAGAGAATATTATGGTGTTGGTTTGTAGACACGAGAGCTGCCTGCATTTCTAATCATACATGTTATCCCAGTCAGGGGCCAGGATATGGGGATGCTGAAGCTGTGGTCCAGGACTTGGCACCAGGTTCTGCATCTTCAGACTGTTGTAACTTCCAGTTCCCAAGAAGTAGATCATAGCAATTCTGTTAAACTGCATTATGACACTAAATTGTATGTTTTGAAATCCAGGCAAGCTAAGTTGCTTTTATAACTGATTATTGATATTTGCATTTCAATATTTCACTCTATCATAGGAATAAAGGTACAAAATACTCCTTTATTTTACTCTTGATGTTGTACATCCAGTGTTAATAATACATTTCTTGGTTTAGATAGAAAGAATACCCATTTATTCTTCTGCCAGAGTTTCTCTTACCTTCAGCCTGCTTAATTTGCTTCAGTCTGGGGCTGGACTAATTTTGCATTTAGTTGTTGCATATTATTAGCTAAGGTAATTTTATTTCCACTCAATGCCTTATAAAAGACGAAGATAACCATCTCACTGACATTCAGTATCTAATTTGAAGAAAACCTGACAACAAAAGGTATTATGTAGGTTCCCTGTTCCATATTCATATGCTTTTAGAATTAGCTCTTGTTGATAAACTTCTGGGGGCTTAATGAAAAATCAACTGGAAGAGGAAAAAGTATTTTATTCATCAATGCCAAGTTAGAGACAAGGGAAAGATGTTCACACTTTTAAAGAAACAATGACAACAGCAAAACTAGTGTTTTCTCTAAGCCGGGGTTTGGCAAACTGAGTCTGGTGGTCTAAATCCATCTGGTCACCTGTTTTAGTAGTGCTTGTGGGTTAAAAGTGATCATCTCCTTTTAAAATGATTTGCAGTCAAAAGATGGATAATATTTTGTGATGTGTAAGAATCCTATGAAATCCAAATTTCTGAGTCCATAAATAGCCACACCCAATTATTTTCAGATCATCTGTAGTTGCTGTCACCTCTGTGACAGAGATCATATGGTCGGTCAAAGCTGTGGATACTCACTTTCTGGCCCTTTACAGGAAGAGTTTGTTGCCTCCTGGCGTCATCAGAGAACCAGGCTGAATGAATGAACTAGTGCTTTTTCTCCTGTCTCTCCTCTGAAAGAAGGCAGAAGTGTTCTGAGTGCTTCAGACGGGAGACTGTTTGCCCGGCCTTTTCCCTGTAACAGTGATCTCTTGCCCCAGCCGAGATCTGCTGAGGTGTGACATCCAAATGTCCAAGACACCATTCCTGCCCACATCTTTGAACTTGAGGCACTTTTGAGGAACTGTGCTGTTTTACACAAGGCTACAGAAATTGCCAGAAGTGCCGGGATGGTCTCTTGAGGATAGGTGGGGGGACGTCACTGCTCTAGCTCCTGGGCGTAAAGCCACAAGTCCTCTCTCCTTCTCACTGTCTCAGCTTACTCCTCCTTCCTACACTGAATTCATCACAAGCCCTTTCCCTTCCCTGGCTTACCGTGCAACTCCAGGGACTGTCTCTATCAGAACCCACATGGTTGAGAAAATGCCTTTAGTCCAGGTATATGTCTCTCCCTTGGGCTCCCCAGGTGGCCATGGTGGTAAAGAATCTGCCTCCCAATGTAGGAGATGTCAGAGACGTGGGTTCCATCCCTGGGTCAGGAATATCCCCTGGAGGAGGACATGGCAACCCGCTCCAGTATTCTTGCCTGGAGAATCCCATGGACAGAGGAGCCTGGTGGGCTACAGTCTGTGGGGTCCCAAAGAGTCAGACACAACTGAAGCACACAGCATGCACATATCTGTCCCTTATGAATTGCCTACGTATGATACAATATTATTAAATTATGACTAGTAAATTCAGGATTAAACTTTAATAAAGACACACTTTAAGATGGCTTTCCCATATCCAGAGGGTCATTTTTTCATATCCCTTGTGTTATATGCACCCCACTGTTAGTGCTGCCACTGGTGCAGACCTTTGGGAAGTGTCCAGAGCCAGAGCAAATACCCTAATTCCTTATGAGAAGAGGACATGGTCTTAGGAGGCCTGTTAGACATGAAGTGTTCAGGGGCTGCGGACTTTTGACCCAGGCTGGTCGCCAAGGCACCTCTCCAGTCTTACCTCTCTGCCATTAAGTAAGGCCACTTGCTGGGGGTCCTTCAGTCCCATCTGTAGATCACTCCCAGAGATACTTTGAGGAGAGTGGGGCACGGGAATTGAAGGCCAGTTGCCGGTCTTCAAGGGGTCACCGCTCAGGAATGAAGTCAAGGGTACTGTCCTAAACAATTCTATAGCATTGAATTGCTACAGAAAAACCATAACATCAAGCAGATGAGACAGGATGACAAAAGCACAGAGCCTGCTGCCACGCTCAGGGATGGTTCTAAATGCTTTGAATATATTTACTAATCTTTAGAACCGGCCTGTGGAGGAGGTGGTATTATGATGATCACTTTGTAGATCAGAATACTGAGACATAAAGACATTGAGTGATCTGCCCGAGGTCACACAGGTTGTATAGCACCAGTCTTTAAAACACTCTCACCCAGGCAGTCTTGCCCTGGAACCTGGGCTCTTAGCAGTCATTTTGATTGACCTTGCATTTATAAAGGACTTCATTCAAAAATTAAATAAGTATATACCCACTTTCATCTAGAGAGCCTCATGGTCTCCTATAGTCTTATCAGTCAGTATCCGTTGAAGACAAACCATGTGCTTGATGGGCTCCAGACCCAAAGAAGCTTAAACTGACTTCTAGTCCTCACACGTGTTCAGTTTAGTTTCAGAAAAGGACATTCAATGTGAAAAAATGAACTGGGAAAAGAAGATAGTATGTTAAAGGCTAAATGAACATTGCAGACAAAACTGAAGACAAAGCATTAATAGCAGCACAAAACAACATGTGTTCTTGTTTTTTCCTGGAAAACCTATAACTCGGGATTGTACTATGACTCCTGACTCCTCCCAGTATGTCTTTCTGCTGGTTTCTGGGCAGGGCGTGGGGCTGTGGGACCGTGTCCACCCTTTGTCCTCAATACTGCAGCTCTGCATCTACCTGGCCTTATCTTCTGTGGCTTCTCTCCTTTCCCTGTCCTGCTCAACCCTGTGCTGACTGAGCCTGGGCCTCCATCACTCCAGACACCATTAGGGCCATCCTGAGTTATAGATTGTGCTAGAACTGAGAGATACCCTGAGATGACTATACAGGGACAAGCAGGAAACAGCTGTAGTCCTTGAAGATGAGCCAGGTTAAAGCTTCCTGAATCTCCCCACCAAAGGCGATTTCTCACTTAGCTTTTTCTCCTACACCCAACCTGCAGCATCTTTTTCCATCCCTCCTTCTTGGCTTCCGTAGTTAGCCTCTCACCCTTGTTACTTTATTACGAAGACTAATTTCAATCCCAGAAACCAACTCAGACAAGGAGTACAGTCTACCTTAGGGTGGTCAGAAAGGTCCCCTAGGCTTTCCTTAACCAAATAATTGTTGTTCTGGTTCAGTTAGCTTGATGGTGTTTGACTCTTTGTGACCCCATGGACTGCAGCATGCCAGGCTTCCCTGTCCTTCACTGTATCCTGGAACTTGTTCAAACTCATGTCCATTGAGTTGATGATGCTATCCAACCATCTTGTTCTCTGTTGTCCCCTTCTCCTCCTGCCCTCAATCTTTCCCAGTATTAGGTCTTTTTCCAATAGTTGGCTCTTTGCATCAGGTGGCCAAAGTATTGGAGCTTC